TTAATTGGGAAAAGCTGAAAATAGTTTTAGTTTACTCAATATCACATGCTAGAAGAAAAGTTTGCATGAGAAAACACTGAAGAGGTAATTTTTTTGATCCAGATTTCACAAACTCATGCTGCAAAACGGGTCCCCACAGCTTCCTCTAGAGTTATAACTGCTCTTCATTGCTTGTTGGCTGCCTGTGAAAATTTGATTGAAAAAAGTTAAATGTTCCTACAAAACTAGTCGTACCCACCCATGCTGTACTGCCCGCTGTAGGCAGCCCCGTAGCAGCCACTGACTGACTGGCTCTCCAACCCACTGTAAGTGGCCTGGGCTGCTGACACGCCATGCCTTGCATCACCTGGCTGCTGTATGCTGCACTGCTGGCCCCTGTTGTTGAATTCAAGAAGAGCTCTATGAATCTGTGCTGCATGTTAGTCCTGTCTTTCGACATTGTTGCCACAGCCTCTTCGTGAGTGGCAAACTCTACATCTGCTTGGCTGGTCACTCTTCCATCTGGGCCAATCTCGATATGCATTCTCACAGGGTTGAGTGGAGAGAAGAAGTTGTAAATGTCATTCTCACGTCTCTATGTATGGCAGCCCCTTCATGTGGTGCAGTGCCCAGTGGTGCTCTGCACTGCAAACTCACCATCTCCATATCTGTGGTCATACATCCCAGAGAGACAGTAGCTGAGGTCTCTTCCAAATAGGTCAGTGGTGAAGCCGTAGCCATCGCTGAGGCTTCTGTACTTTTTATAGCCACTGTAGCCTTCACTGTAGGCACCAGGCTACATCCTATCCAGGCCGGCTTGCTTCTACCAATGTATCTCCTAACTGTGCCAGGGCAGTCACAGGGCCCTGGCCGCTGCACAGACAAGAACTTTAGAGGGAGATCAGAGTATGACCTAACTTCCTCCTGACTGCTCTTGAACACTTCTATATATCTGTGCCCTATCCTCTCCTTGTGCTTCCCCAGAGCCTTCTCAGCTAACTCCTGGGAGGCAGACTGTACAAAAGCTTCCCCTGTTATCTTGCCCTCAGGGTCCACAGGTAATGTGATCCCGTTTGGCATGATTTCCAACCGTGAGAAGAACTGGACAATTTCTTCCTTTGTGAATCCAAATGGGAGTCCTCGATGTCCGACGAAGCCATCGTTGGCGCTGTCAGCACTCTTGGGACCACTGTGCTTCAACACACAATCCATCTTGGTTCTGTGGGACTTGAACACCTCAATGTACCGGTGTCCCATGCTTTCCCTGTCTTTTTTCAGGGCCATTTTTACATCATCTTCTGATTCAAGTTCAACAAAAGCCTCACCACTCTGCCTGCCCTCT